TACATCTAACGTTTCTGTCAGAGAAGCCGGCGGAACCGCAGAAGTGCCTGATTGTTGTTAAGTCTGACATCTGATATAGGCGTATTGGGCATCCTCAGAGCCGGGCATATAGGGATATAATGCCGGTTCATGCGGCTAGGTAGCCGTAAATAATTGGGATCACTTCTTATACTCGATGAATGTGCAACATGTTATGAGCGTTTAGTTGCACCGCCTGTGTTTCGTTTTAGTTCATTCCTTATGTTAGGGGAATTGAGTGTTTGTAAACATGCCCCCTGTGGTTTTCAAGTGCTAAATATATAGATGTTTTGTACATGGTCGGGTGTATAAGTTTTGCTACCATAATCCTCATTGCTCGTTGCACAGCCGCTACAACTGAGTGTTGCACTGACGGAACTTTTAACTGTACTATCTGAGTCATTATCAGCACAACTTTTTATGGCCAGATATAAAACATTTTTTGGAGGAAAGAACACCATTCTCATTAGCGTTGCTTTCTCCCAGATTCCAAGTTTCAAGAGATTCCGGAGAGTCTTTCAGTGGTGAGATATTTATGAGGTTAGGGATACTTTCAGAAACTTGCTTGATTTTATGGCTTACCGCATCAGGGTACGTTTCTTTCATTTTGATGCTACTGATCTGTAATTGGCTTTTCTTACCTTTCACTGACACGTTCTATCTGAATGATCTTAAGATCCCTGAAAATCTGTTTCTGTCTGATCGTGTTCGAGAAAGTCAGACGCTCGTTTGCGTTTACGGATGTGTTGAGTTTGAACGATATCGGCGGTAACGCTTTTTAGTCTTGTGTCACACTACTCACTTTAGACAGCCTATAATTAATATGCTTCAGGGCATGTGTGTCCGATATATGAAACACGATTGAAATGTTGGATCATCTTATTATCTTAAACACTTCTAAAGTAATATATTCCAGGAAAGTATTTGTGCAAACTGGAAATACTGTATAATTTACCCCAACACTGACTAAGGTTCAAGCCATTATCATAGATATGAGTTGAGAGTGTGTTCCCCTTGGTTACAACTTATGTTCTCCCTGATAATTACATGAGCATCATTCACTGTTAATCGTCTTGTGAAGACTTATCTAGCCGAAGACATCATGCAGAACCACATCAACTATAATTGCAGCACATAAGTTTCGTCGATTCCGACAGCTTATAATCACTGTATCTCAAGGAAATCGTATTCCGTCTTACAGTAAACTGATATTTACAACTTACTTGTATGCACCATCAGCCGGTAAATATTCATACAAATAATTGGTTTATTGTACACCAAAAAATTAGTCTAGGGCATGTCTCTCGTCGATCCACTCATATTTTATGAACTACCGTCATCTATCTGTCCAAAATTCACATAATCAACATTTTGTTATGAACCAAAGGTAATTTTGACAATCACTGTATTAGTAGTTTTATTAAATTCTTTCACGGTAGAACAACAACGAAGTCGAGAAACTCTCTCCATAACTAGACAAAAGGTACAAATTTGGACAAATTAACTGAAACACTAGTTGAAATTCCTCCATCCTACGGTTATACTTTTGTACCTACAGTCAGCCTGCAAATGCATTTTTAAAAAAACGCACACGAACAAATTACCGGCATAAACGTCAAGTGACATTCTGACTTGAATTAAAGGTATTAGTGATATCAACATCGGCAAAATATCGGTTGTATTTCTATTTCCGGACAAAAAATACTCATGCTGTCCATACGCTAAGCCAACGGCTATTACTACGAAACTTCCTGAGACATATTAAGCCATCCCTACACAAAATTATACTTAATTAATATAATTCAGCCTTGTTCACTTCTTAAATAAAATTCACGTAGAATTCCATTTTGTGAGTGTTATGAATTAAAACAAACATTTTGAAATTATAACATGTAGCGAAATAATCCGTTAAAAATTCTCTATCTCGACTTATTTACAGAATGGTCTCCCTTGTTATATGAAACGTTAGAGCACATAGTTAGAGATTCAACAAAAATCACACTACTTGGTGTTTTTAAGAAGCAATACATGTTGCATGAATAAGTGGTTTGTGTTCCTTCGATCGATCCAATAAAGTAGGAACAATTCCAGATAGTTTACCATCGACATCCAGACCTCCAACCACAAATCTGTATCTGAATCAGCCGGAACATACAAATTATTATTTACGGCGCGTTGTGATGCTGCGGTGAGCACTTCGGTATTTGCCCGAACATTCATAAACGAGATCTGTTTTCCACATAGATCAGTTAAAACAATTATTAGTGTTTTCGCATTTATGTAGCAATAATTAGAGTTTAAATAGGACCTCTGGTCATTCGTATTTCTGTTTATGATCCTCTACGGTCCAAAACCAATATAAAACAAACCCCACATCCTACTTGCTTTATTGTTTCCTAGTCACACATTTTTGGTTATTTTACCAACTAAATCCATTCAATTCTGACAAAGTCATATTTGAGTCCATATTATTAACAACTTGTGTCTTCTGGGATAGAGGTGATTGAGTCTGGTTTCCATATTATTCGTGGATTTACACGTATTGTTAACTTATTTCATACAAAAGGTCATGCGTGATCAAATATACACATCCTTCTCCCGTCTCCATTTATTTGTTTGTATCAATTTGATCCAGTAACATAATACTAACCTGGTAGAAATTAATCTCAGGTCCTACCGTCTGATAAGCACTCAACAGACACTCGGATTTAAGAGGAATATGAGTTCAAATGGATTCTAGACGCAGGATTTGAATGTGATCTATTGTCTTCAGACCTATGATCTTATGCCGTCGTATAATCACAGTCTATCAGTGAGATAAACATCACTTCATCAGTAAGATGTATTACTTGGGTCTACGTAATTAACTGTTAGTCTCACCGAGAATTTAGTCTGTTTGCAACAATTCAGTCGAAGCATTTTACATATCCAAGTGCTCGTGAAATAACGGACACAGTGTCTAGCGTTTTGCCAACTATGACATACAACTTACGAGGAAAAGTTCCAAATTACTTTTCGAACGCTTACACACTAGTCTCGGGTCTGTTTTCTTAATTTTATGACGCGTAATTACGTAAATGCAGGTTGGGGAATCCATTTATATGACTATATGAAGGTATGTGCCATCCAAAAACACAATATTCAAACAACGACACTCAAATTGTATGGTGGAATCTTTCTGACGTACAAATAATGCTCGTTACGCCAAAAAGTTAAATAAATACGACTGTCAAGTACTTATTAATCAAGAAGATGATTCCCAACAGAATAGGATCAAGATTTCCTTCTGAAAAAATCAGGTCAACCAGTGAAAGTTTCCAGCGGACAGTAGATAATTAATATTAGCCGACTGTTCGGTGATGTAATCTGAAGCAAAGCCCTTCAAGACCTTGTTTTCATCGGTCTGGTACCATACAACAACAAAGTGAAACAAGGAAGAATAATCTTAACTAGAGTCAAATAACAGAAGTCTAGTTAAGAATAACTGGAAGCTATGAGAATATGGGTAGGAAAGTCATGGATTAAAGTTTATGTACAAAAATGGGGTCAAAATTTACTAAATATTAATGCTGTCAAAGAAGGCCCTTAAGAGAGTCCTTCTAATAGCCTGAGGGACCCCAAAGTACCCTTCGTAATGTAGTGGATAAGAACACCAAACACTTTTGGTAGTGTAGTTTGTTTCAAAATACGTGGAGGAAACGGAGTGCAACATCGCCAAGTAAAATACACGAAAAGTCCACCGTTCGATACATAAACACAGGAAATATGATGCTCACACAAAATAAGAAAGTAAATAACTATTCTAACTATAATGTCTTAATTCCAACTGAAGATGACCAAGAACCTAACTTGGGCTGCTACACACTCGTTATGTTGCAGGAATTTTTAGATTGTTATTGTCGGGCCTACCTCAACATGTCCTTATACTTTGAATTGTGATAATACTGGCCCCTCAGTCCGTTTCGATTGTAGACTCAACATTTTCAGCGCAAAAGTACCTAGGGAAAGAACTTTAATTGTCCATTTCGGCCGAACTCATGTTTCTGTAAAGATCAGAACAAAAGGTAGAACCTATACATACTTAAAGCTCAGTCCTAATACATTGAAAAGTTCTTTGGACAAGTTTGTTTCCAATTCCCACTTACCGTGATTCATACAATGAGAATTGCACTCACTGAGAAGGAAAACTGGTGGTTTCCGATTTAATAATGAAATGTTGTTTCCTAAGAGAAACTGATGATGAAAAATGACAAACTAACTTCTACTGTCCCAGCCAGTGACTTCCTGCTTCCTTTTGTTTTTAGAATTAGCAGGAATACAAGATACCGGTAGAGCAGTCCTGTACTCTTTTGATTCAGCACAGAATCCCTAGATTTACGGTTATTATCCTTGTACCATTGAAAGTGGCTGGAGAATCGGGCAGCTAAATTGTTCAAAGAGGTCGGAAACCTGAAGAATACAAATCAACGAGGTCAGACTACGGACTTCATAACTCACCCAAATAAGTCTTCGGTGTGTGCTGCATTTGGGAAGGATCAGCTCGTTATGGTTACGAGTCTTCCACAAACCTACGGAAAAAATCAAATCGTGTGATCATTCTTTAAAGTTCTCACATAGCTTACAACGTCAGTGAGCGAATCCCCGTCTCCCGTACGCAACGTGTGGGCGAAATCGAGATAACATAGCCGATGAAAAACTTTTGACGACGAGAAAGCTCCAAACTGAATACATTCATCTGAGGAGTGAGTTTAAAAAGTTTATTAGGATTTTACCAGAAGTCCAGAAAACCCCGAGGTATGTAATTACTTAAGTGATAAACCTTAAAGTTACTAGCTATTTTATTAAAGAAGCAAGGCCAATATGAAAAATGTCTCCCAATAAATGAAGAAAAAAGACGGTGACGTCAAAAAGCTTGTTACAACTGTTAATAAGCGAAACACCTTATCCGTCGTGGCTTAAAGAACGGCAAAACTCACAACTCCCGCCATTTAAGTAGACTTAGGTAGGAGATTCAAAACTCAGAGGAGGAAGGCCTGTGAATTGTTAACCATAGTTTATTTCTTCTAGTATCAGACGTAAGTGTACAAAACGAGTTCTCTCTGTCGTTTCTTTACGCTCAATTTTTTTGTAAGTTCAAGATAATTGAGAGACCCATATAACGAGGACTTAGACAGGCCATTCAGGATGAATTTCAGTTTGGTAAGGACAGGAGGCTTGATGGCCTGTGTTAGTCCTGGCAATGGTGGTCTCTCAGTTGATCCAACTTTCGTTTGAAAGAGTCGACGGATGGGGCTCCAATCACGTGCTGAGGTAATGAATTCCACTCGATGCTGCGCTGGGAAAGTCGATAGTCAGCTGACAAGTAATTTGTTCTGGGCTTGTGAACTTTTTTGGAGTGTCCTTGTAAGTTCTCTGTTTTGAAAGACAACAAAAACGAGGATTGTTTCGTTATCAACTGGGTTCGTCATATTCGTTTGTCATCTGACGTGGATAGCTTTCAGCCCGATCTATGTGACAAGTATGTCAGAGTGATTATACACATAATCACTCTGCTCTAAGTAATGCAACAGTCCCACAGATTTAACAAGCTGGATGCATTTGTAAATATAAGTAAGCACTAAAACCAACTTTCCGCCTGGATAAAAAGACCTTAATTAATTTTATGTCATATTGATCTCAAGCTGCACTTATGTACTAAGCGCCCCTTGGACTATCGAACGGACATTCATTGAATGTACTTTTTGAGTCACCGGTTCTCAAATTCCACCAGGTCATTAGTTTAAATTCCTTAGCAGGTCTTAATTTTCACCGAGAAAAGTGCTGAGTTACTAACACATAGATGCGCCATAGTCATAGGCTGGTGAGTCGCTTTGTGCTTTTTGAGGTCTTATTTCCCAATAACTAACCTTAATTTACGGCCGTACTGTTCGTGTTTACACAATTTTTGCAAATTTGACTAATTTAGAACAATGATGTTTGTTAAACATTGCTTCAAACTGGTTAAGTTACGAGGACACTGGTCAACTTTAATCGACTTTTGTGTATATATTCAGGTAGTTATTTCCGTAGTAGTGATTATACATAGCTGTCACTTCAAATATGTGCGTTTATCCCCCTCTAAACGCAGATGACATAGTCCTGTAGGACAGTCCTCTGGGACGACATTCGGAGAACATGTCCAAGCCACCGAAGTCGATGTTTCAAGATGGTGACACCAATTGCATTATCATCTCTGTGCCCGGACACACAATGCCGAACCTCTGCATTACTGACATGATGTTGCCACTGGATGTCAGCAATCCTTCGGAGACAGCGGTGATCGAACACAGAGAGTTTTCTAACGTCCTCAACTCGGAGCGACCAGGTTTCACAAGCATAGAGCAAGACTGCTCTCACCGACGCGTTGTAGATCCGGCCTTTTACATCCAGACTAACATCACGAAGGCGCCAAAGATGGCCCAGATTGGCATAAGCCTCTCCGGCTTTCACTACACGTGAATTGATCTCATCATTCACGCCACCACCAGCAATTATGCAGCTACCTAGATACGCGAACTTCTCGATTATTTCTATCTGCTCACCATCCAGGGTGAGTACAGGATTGGAATCCTGCCAGTCTTGTAGAAGTACTTTGCACTTCGAAGGTGCAAAGCACATACCATACCTACGGACACTGATTGCCAACCGATTAAGTGCGGATTGCATGCCTTGGGTATTATCACACGGTAAGACAATATCGTCCGCATACTCAAGGTCGAGAAGTCTTTCTCCAGACAACAGATCCGCACCACCATTACTTACATTCATCAGAGCTGTTTCCACAATGTCATCGATCGCAAAGTTGAAGAGGAATGGTGAGATTGTGCAACCCTGCCTAACCCCACTGCTCGAATGGAACAATGGAGAGAGGTGGTTGTATGCCCTCACTCTGCCTGAGGTGTTTGTATATAGGGCTTTTAGGATGTTAATAAACTTCTTAGGCACACCCTTCTTCAATAGACAATCCCAGAGAACAGTCCTGTCCAACGAATCGAAGGCAGCCCTGATGTCAAGACACACTACGATTGTTGGCCTTTGATAAGTATGGCGGTGTTCTAACATTTGGCGAAGGGTGAAGATATGATCAATACATCCTCGACCAGAACGAAACCCAGCCTGCTCCTCGCGAGTCAATCTTTCTCGAGTTTTGAACAATCTACGAAGTATGACGGAAGGCAATAGCCAATGCTCATCTATACTTTTCGGTGGAATGGTAGCTAGCATAGAAGCTAGCTCGGTTCGATGCTTACTAGCAACAGAAGTTGCAACCAACTTGCTAGCATCAATCCTTTGGTGGCGGTCACTTTGTTGGCCACTGAAAAGTAAGGTGAGATTGGCGCAGACCAGGGCATGATCAGAGTCCAGAGGGGTACTCCAAAAGGAGCGGCAGTCTTGTACACAACCACGCTAGCGGTAGCCGATCGCGATGTGATCAATCTGAGTCCAGGCTTGAGATGCAGAAGGAGGATGCCAGGTGGCACATCGGCGATGACTGTGCCGAAAGTTAGTGCTAGCCAAAAGCAGGTTGTGGTCTGTGCACAGTTGCAGTAGACGGTCCCCGTTATCTGTCTTGCGACCTACAAGTTCCCATCGGCCACCTAGACGACTCTCTTCTGTACCTAGACGCACGACCTGAGCATTCAAGTCTCCGGCTAGTACTACAATATCTGTCGAACGCACTTTCTGGAGCAGAACAGATAATCGGTGGTAGAATTCATCCTTGATTGCATCCGGGCTGCAATCTGTCGGGGCATAGACGGAGATGACGAAAAGACATAGTTTTTCAGGCCGATTTCTTCTCACTTTGATGGAACTCTCTAATCTAATAGCACGTAACCGACTGTTAATGGGGATTCAGTTGATTAGTGCTGCCTCAGCTCTAGCGCTTAGTGCGACACCAACGCTAGCAAGACCAGACGAAGATGCCACAGGGTCCCCGGGTAAGCGCACGTAAAACAAAAGCGACAGATGAAGAGCGAATTTGTAGTACTTCACCAGGGTCTTGAATACGGGTCTCGGACAGACAGCAGACATCGATATTAAGACTTTCCAAAGACATAGTCAGCCCTATCTGTTGTCCGACCTGCATAAGTGTGCGAACGTTGAAGGCAGCCAGTTTGAATGGTGCACGTGGTTTCAGAAAAACTGCTTCAGTATTCGTATTCGGTGGTAGCATACAATTTTCAACCAGGCAGCGATTCGAGAACGTTTAGATAGAACTGAGTTTCCACCATAGGCGAGTTGCTATGTAAGTCGAAAAATAAGGATACATAAAGTGGGAATAAAATCGACGTAGAAAAGAATAATAATAACAATAATAGAAAAGTATTTTCCATAAATATCGACATTTCATCATATTTGTGTGAGGGCTGCGATACTGCCCGGATGCCCAGACCGAAGCAGGTGGTTTTCTTAGGGGGCTACACCCGGAGCCTTCGACCTAAAGGTCTAACCCACAAGGCAGTGGAGCATCGTGAGGAGATGCAGTCCCATGGTAGCCGGTGACCAACGACTGGTTCGTACGCCATGTGCACCATTGGTTTGGGATCCGGTTAAAGAGTCGGATATTCGCTTTTCGTCCTCTCATTTTCGTAAACAACCTCCCACCACGGAAAGGCAGTGAGTAGGACTTCCCTGGCAGAGGCTATATACACGTGGCCGTGTAAGAGTATTTTGAGAGGGAGGGCGGGCCTACCCCACTCTCGGCCATTCTGGGAACTGGATGTAATCCAATCTGACTGGTCTCGATCGCTGATCACAAATCAAATGACTTGTATGGTGCATAGATATTCAGTGCCCCTTCATACTAATGTTCACCTAACTTGGGAGTTTGGTATCTGACGAAATCTCGGCACGGTATGAGAAGGCTCGATTGGCTTTCGCCGAATCGCGTCACTTGTGGCATAGTCTAGATATCCATCTTCCTATCAACGGGGAGTTTACTGCTTAGTAGTCTACTCCACTCTACTTTATGGATGTGAAACCTGGTCATCAAGAGTAGAGGATATTCTCAGGTGTCTACAAACATTGCTCATGAATTTTTGGACCACGGAGTAAGCATAACCTGGGTTAAGATGGGGAATTAGTTTATGATGTAGTAAATCTTCATTAACTGAAGTGGTGAGAACATGCATTACGCATGTCCACCCATCGCCTACCTCAACAGGCAATGTTTTTTGGTGTAGGAGTAGTCTGGAAGAAAGCTAGGGGCGGCCAGACCAAAACATGGCATCAGTCTATGATGTCACTGACAGTTGAACTTAGACGTGCTATTAGGTACAGACTACCTGGTTAGGATCCACGTGATTATCGTAACAAATGGTTTAAGACTTTGAATGACCTGACTCAAGATCGTTTGCAGTGGCGTAGGTACATCCGTGCTTTATCTTTCCCCGAATTCTAAATTCCTCATAACTTCCTTTATACTTTTATTTCGTCAATTTATATTTTCTTTTTGATCCTCATCTTCGATACCTAATCTTTCCTATTACCACTAATTCTGTAACTACCTCTTCCGAAATTTGGCCTTGAAAATTCATCTCTCTATGCTAATGGGGTATGTTAACCGATTTACATACATACAGGCTCTACGTTGTGACTGAGTGAATGTCGACAGCGTACATTAAAGACCTCATTAAGTGTTACTGACTAACGCTTAAGTTATGTTTTACTGTGGACTTTTGTAAGCGAATTAGTATCGCACTCTCTGGCCTCTGTTCAATTTCCATTCCTTATTACAAATACTTCGGAATAAACTTTTAAAGTTGGTGCTCTGAGAAATAACTAACAATCAGCAAGAAAAACAAAATTAATTAAACTTAACATGTCTGGCCGTTACTGCTACCTTGACGTGGTGATCGGGCTAGCCTATGGTGATGAGCAAATCGGGCTATACTGGCTGGGACAATCTTTCCCCAAGGTCCTAACATCCCAGGCATATCGGTTGGTTAACGGTAAGATGAAAAACAGCAAACCCAAGGTTCGTTCTGCTAACTGTACAGAGGTGTGATGGCAGTAAGGTGTTTACTTCAGACAATCAGCATAACATCTATTCAGCCTTCCCGCGAAGGAACCGTGAGGTTAGGTCGACCCTGATAATGCACACCTCGTCTCATCCCGCGGATTTTGGCCTCCTGCGGTAAGGTATCAACAAGTACGGAGCGAACACAAAAAGTCGTGTGTGACTGGCCTCAAGCAGTTGTCCCTTCGACATTGCGGTCAAGCTATCAGGCCACGAAGACCAACTCTAACCCGCTTTCGTTTTCAGGCACCTCAAGGAGAACCGTTCTACTGTGTGAGTAACCGGAATGTGATAACCGCCTTCATACTTCTAACAGCACTTATGACCACAAACTTCACATGGTTTATAGAAACAGTCTACGTTAGTAGTTGCAACTTGAATATATCGCAAAACACCGTATCTTTACTACTTGTTGGTGATTATTTTTTTTACGTTGCGAGCGGTCATTTTCGCTAAATAGATTTTCACACAAGTGGCAACCTCAGATCCATCATAATTAAATGATTATGTATATCTTCTCTATCAACAAATCCTTGTGTATTCTTCGGTTTTTAGGATTGTATATCACGATGGAGCTGACGATCAATATCTATCTCTAATTTTAAAGAGAAGCATGACACACACAGTTTGCACTCAACTAAAACCTTCACTGTCTGTTCGGACTCGTGCTCTAACAAACAAGTCCCACACTAGGTTGGCCAATAAACTGTCGTTGTTATCTGATTCTTTGAATCTGCGTCTGCGTCATCGGAACAGGAATGTAGAAAGAAGAAATCACTTCAAGCATCGTCATGTTTTCTTAAATAGGGATGATTGTTTACCTGACCCCAAATCGCCTGTAGAAGACAACGGTCTCAAAGAACAGTCTGTGATCAATTCAATCCAAGATACCTCTGCTTCTTCTGTTTCATCTACTTCCTGTGGGTCTAGTAGTATGGCCTCCGTTTGTAAGTGGAAGGGTTGTGGGTGTGTTGACATTGAAAGGACTCAGCTGATCAATCACATTCAACAAATTCATGTCGTCCCACAGTTATCCAGTCGGCGAAAATATTTTAGTTGTTTGTGGCAGGATTGTCGTGTGTTTGGAAGACCTAGTGTTTCGGCTGCGTGGCTGGAACAACATATACTTCATCATACGGATGCCAAAGGAAAACCATTTAGATGCATTTTCGATGCATGCACATTACGATTTTCTACTTCCACATTGTTAGAACGTCATGTTCAACGAACACATATGCGCACAAATCGTATCAATAGTGATTCCTTACCCAAAGTATCTCTAACTGACAAGAACATACTTTGTCAGCCACATTCAGAAGAAATAACTAATTTACAAAATCCATTAAAGAAATGTACTTCGCTATCTACCAAAAAAAATTTGCGCAAACGTAAGAAAACGCGAACTTACCGAGGTTAGTCTATACATGAAAGCTTGTCAAATGGATGGGTATCATTGTAATATTAATAAGATTTTCTTTAAATATTGTTAGTGTATTTTTATCTCATGATAAAATGAATCAGTCGAAGTCAGTCAACCATTAAAATTGTAAATCTCAATCATTTATGGTGTCCAGCACTTGGGTTGCTCATTTTAAGCTAGTACTTACACTTTTGGCACTGGCCGAACCATTTGAAATCAGGGAGTATTAAATAATTTTTTCCCAATTTAGGACTACTCAACATCATGAAACTTCAACTCTGCATTATTAAAAATGGCTATGGTGGATGATGTCGATGTGAGATAATGTATTTCAAACGATACAGTATTCGAAAAACCACTTATCAGTTGTTAGTGGCCGTGTTTTGGATTATATCGGAGTGGATATGATCCGAGTTGTGAAATAATCTGTTTTTTCCCGACGTATTATAGTCTGCTAATTTATAGGCTGTTTATGTGCCTTACTAGTGATTTACATCTCCAAATTATTTCCAAATTCAATTTGACTATTCTTTGTGAATGAGATAATAAATACGGTAAGAATATTCTCGTTTATGAGGTCTTGTAGCCTCAGCTTATTGCGTTTGACCATTTGTTAGTGAGTTGCACACCAACCATATTGTTTTTACATTTTATACTTTGTATTATAGTTCGTCGCTTGGATTTTTATGATTACCGAAGTCAAATACTGGTTAAAAACAAGTTGAAAATTTCATATCTTCTAAATAAGGAGCTCACAACAAAAAATAATCATGAACGATCTCGCATTTTACCACTGAGTTTTTGCAAGTTACCTTTGAAACTTTATGACAAATCTACAAATCCGCGTGCACGTCCCAATGTTAATCCACCAAGTATCATGGTTAGTAAAGAATCGACCCTACCATCATTGTTGAGGCATACAAAAGATGTTCATCAGCACATATCATTACTGTTGACAACTCCTCATACGGTAAGTTAATATACAATCGATTGCAGTTGGGGAAACTTAATATGTAAATTATATCAGTATCACAAATCGTTGTAGTACATGATTAGAATAATAATGATCATACTTAGAATTCAGATTAAGACACTGTTTTCGAAGTGAAGGCAATAAGTACATAAGTATTTTATTGGTTTCTTAACTTATTCTGTTCACTTATGTCAATCACTACTCCACTCATAACAATTGCTGAAGCCCCCACCTCTTGTCACAATTGTGATGACAATTACCGTTGGAAAAATCTCGTTTCGCTTTGTTATTCAAGCAAATAGTATTGATTACTATTTCGTCACACTCATTTTTACTTTACACTGTCACTTCTCAGTTTTTCTTTGTTTTCACTTTATGTATTCTTTATTTGTCAAATCACCCAGCAGCTCATCTATGGTGGAAGTTCTGTCCTATTTAAGCAATCCCATGTCACAGTTTAGTCGAATTTATGGATGCTTCCACAGAATGCGATTGTTAATACACCTTTTATGGATCAAAGTATCTCATCCAAACTGGCCTCCTTCAACAGTCACATATTGATGAGGATAGGACAACAGATACGTTTGGCCGTCATTGGAAAGTCTTGGTGTCGACATCTGTTGTACCTCTGAGACCAGTATTCAAGACTCTGATGAAGCACTACAAATTCTCTTCATCTGTCGATTCGTAAAGCTTGTTGACGTGCGCATATACAAGGACTTTGTGACATCTTTGTCCGGCTTAGCTACCATGGGCGTTGTATTAAGTCATATGGCAGAGGCAGCACTAATTGATTATATCCCCCATTAACAGTCGTTTATGTGTCGTCAGATCGGAAAGCTCAATCAAGATGAGGATGGACTGGCGTATGAAACAGTCTTTTTGCTATCTTCGCCTATGTCCCGACACATTGCAGTATAGATCCAATAAAGGATGAGTTGCACTACCAAATTGTTTGTCTGGAGAAAGCGCGCCCGATAGATATCGTAGTGCCACACGGAGATTTGAATGTGCAGGACAGGCATCTAGGGACAGGACAGTTGCTTGGGTGGCTGCCCAATGAAGACTCGTTGGTTGCAGGTCGGATAACGGTAACCGTCTTCTACAAGCAACAACTTACTTTCAGCCAGCACCAACTTCTGTCACAGTCATTCCTGATGTACTAACTGACGTCCTGCATCCCCAACTCAATCTTCGACTCAGACTGCTCATATAGCGATTAGATACTGCTAGAATAGTTATGTACACGACTACCGCTCCTTTTAGAGTTCCTATCTGGACTTCAATCATGGTTTGGTTAGCGATAATCTTATCTTACGTTGGTCGAAAATTTCATTGTCCTAAACGGATTGATCCAGGCAAATCCACTACAACCTTTGCTACAACTAGTTGTCAAGTCGAGTTATATTGAAATCTAGCTATCAACCCGTGGAAAAGTATGGATGAGAGGTAGATGCGTTTGCTCGACACCATGGAAATGGTGGGTTACGTTTCTTATGGCTTTGTGAAACGTCCCGCTTATATGCACTGGGTTTCTACCGACTCCTTACAACTTCTTGAGGCACGTTTGTCTACTCCGGGTGACCACGAGTTTGACCACAAACGGAGACTGTTAGGTAATGAAATGAGGCAAAGCTTGCGTAATGTTCAAGAAAAATGGCGGTCGGAGCGTGCCAATGAGTTAGAAGCAGCAGTTGTATCTGGTAACTGCCGGAAGCTCTTTTGACCTATCTCAGTCACTGGCAGCAAATAGTCTGGTGTGAGCGAGACAATCTGTGAGGATGATGGGATGCCAATCACTAACATCCATCGACGTCTTGGACGATGGGCAGAATTCTTCGAACAGCAGTTCAAATGGCCCGCTGCTCCGGCAACATCGGTCAGACTGTCCTGCCCTCCATGGCCGGTGACGACTGATCCACCAAATGAGGCGGAAGTCCGCAAGGAACTCCAACTCTTGAAGCGCTACAAATCACCTGGCCCAGATGACTTACCTCCGGCTCTTTTTAAAGATGGTGGTGACTATTTGACTAAGGAATTGACGACGTTGTTTACAAAGGTTTAGGAACTAGAGAGTGGAACAACGTCATGGAATGAGTCGATAGTTGTCCCTATCTTTAAAAAGGGTTCACGTCATTTCTGTATCAAATATCGGGGGATAAGCCTACTTCCGATTGCGTCCAAACTATTGGCTTCCGTCATACTTCGTAGATTGTTCAAAACTCGAGAAAGGTTGACTCACGAGGAGCAGGCTGGGTTTCGTTCTGGTCGAGGATGTATTGATCATATCTTCACCCTTCGCCAAATGTTAGAACACCGCCATACTTATCAAAGGCCAACAATCGTAGTGTGTCTTGACATCAGGGCTGCCTTCGATTCGTTGGACAGGACTGTTCTCTGGGATTGTCTATTGAAGAAGGGTGTGCCTAAGAAGTTTATTAACATCCTAAAAGCCCTATATACAAACACCTCAGGCAGAGTGAGGGCATACAACCACCTCTCTCCATTGTTCCATTCGAGCAGTGGGGTTAGGCAGGGTTGCACAATCTCACCATTCCTCTTCAACTTTGCGATCGATGACATTGTGGAAACAGCTCTGATGAATGTAAGTAATGGTGGTGCGGATCTGTTGTCTGGAGAAAGACTTCTCGACCTTGAGTATGCGGACGATATTGTCTTACCGTGTGATAATACCCAAGGCATGCAATCCGCACTAAATCGGTTGGCAATCAGTGTCCGTAGGTATGGTATGTGCTTTGCACCTTCGAAGTGCAAAGTACTTCTACAAGACTGGCAGGATTCCAATCCTGTACTCACCCTGGATGGTGAGCAGATAGAAATAATCGAGAAGTTCGCGTATCTAGGTAGCTGCATAATTGCTGGTGGTGGCGTGAATGATGAGATCAATTCACGTGTAGTGAAAGCCGGAGAGGCTTATGCCAATCTGGGCCATCTTTGGCGCCTTCGTGATGTTAGTCTGGATGTAAAAGGCCGGATCTACAACGCGTCGGTGAGAGCAGTCTTGCTCTATGCTTGTGAAACCTGGTCTCTCCGAGTTGAGGACGTTAGAAAACTCTCTGTGTTCGATCACCGCTGTCTCCGAAGGATTGCTGACATCCAGTGGCAACATCATGTCAGTAATGCAGAGGTTCGGCATTGTGTGTCCGGGCACAGAGATGATAATGCAATTGGTGTCACCATCTTGAAACATCGACTTCGGTGGCTTGGACATGTTCTACGAATGTCGTCCCAGAGAATTCCACGTCGTGCATTATTTGCCGACTCTGGGACTGGTTGGAAGAAGCGGAGAGGTGGTCAGTGCATGACATGGTGTCGTGGTATGAAAGAAAGCTGCAAAGGACTGGCTTCTGTCGGTCCTTCACGACTCCCTGGCTGGGGTCCGAGAGATGGTGCTACACAGTGACTAGAGACGTTATCAGATATGGCTCAGAATAGAAGCCAGTGGCGATCCTGCTGTAACTTTCTTTTATTTTCTTCATAAAAAATGGACGTAACTTCTCTAACTGGAAGAATTTTTTCTTGTTGCGCCTTTGCTAACGGAATTGTTTCTTCTATTATAATTATAATTATTATCAATAATTTCACTCATAAACTAATTTTTGTTCCTTGTTCTTGCTTTGTTATACGCACTTTACATTTTTCATCTCCTTACATCCTCATTATTATTGTGTGGTGTAGATGTATTTGTTGCCGTATAGTACCAATTTTTGTGTGTTCAAGTAAATATGAATAAAATAATGCGAAAGTTTTATAGACAGCAGTAGTACTTGTTAACTGCTGGAAGATATTTCAACACATCCGAGCTTCTGTCAGCGAAATACCTGGCTTGAAGGATAAAATCTCTAGACCTGATGGGACGCTAGTCAACGACATCCTAGACAATGTGTGCTTTTTCAGAAACAGTTCATCTCTTCTGCTGCTCATAGATGGTGCAGAACCCACAAAAGACTGACTAACGAGAAGACCGGTTTACGTTTAGGTCGTTGATGTATTTATCTCATTTTTACCCTCTGTCAAATGTTATATTACTGCCATATTTATTCCAGGCCAACAATTGTTGTGCTTCTTAGTAATACGGCTGCATTCCAGCCATTGGCTAGGACTGTACTCTGGGATTTTCCGTTAAAGTGTGTGCCTTAAAAATTGATCAGTATTTGAAAGGCTACTTACATAGACAGCTCAGTCAGAGTGGCTTCATACAATCATTCCCTATTGTCCCATTCAGGCAGTGGTGTTAGACAGGGCTTCTCATAATCACTATCCGTCTCCAACTTTGTCATCGATAACATTCTGGGAGAATATTTGGTGGTAATATGTAGTAGTGATGTGTATCAGTTACCTAAAAAATTTCGATCTTATGTACACGGACGGTTTTATCTTTAATATGTGGTGATACTCAAATTAAGAGTATCACGCTCAGTCGATTTGGAATCAGTACTCGTAAGTGTAACACGTACCTGCACCTTCACAGACCCTTGTTTGTGAACTGTTTAAAGTAGTTGAAAAGTTCATGTATATGGTTAGATGCATGAGTGGCGATAACAAAGTGATAAATGAAATCAGTCTGTGTGTATTTATGGGCACTGGAGGTTACGTTAATGTGAGCCCTTTTTGACATCGTCGTGAATGTTAGTCGGGCTGTTAAAGGTCAGGTTTACAAAGCGTTAGCAAGAGTAATTTCCTATGGTCACAAAACCTTGCACCTCTAATTTGAGGATGTTAGACTATTTTCTGTGTTCGATTCTTCAATGAAATGTGCAACACCATCGACCTTAGTAATTAGTGTCACACTGGATTCAATGGATTACACGTGAATTCCAAAGGCTTCTATATCGAGCTTTGCTACCAACGCTTAGACTAAATGGGAAAGTAGAGAAGTGATCAGTTTTTGAATTGGTACCGTAGTATGAATAAAAGTGAAATAGGACCGGAACCTACAGGTCTACCACGACCCCCTGGTTTTGGATCCTAGCGAGGTTATGCAACTCAGTGACCCAAGATATCAAACATGGCTTGGAACTGAAATGGCTGGTGATTCTGACGTAGTTTTTTTTACTTTTTGATAACTTCAACTTCGTGTGTATTGTCAACTGGACTAATTCTTCCGTTATGTACTTTTTTCGTTAATTATTCCACTTAGTTTAATTTCTCCTCTTCGGATGTATAACTTTTTCCTCATCAAGTTATCCATACTTTTTGTGGTGCTTTTTTTTATCTCCCGTTGGGGTGGATTTTATGTTCTAAAATAAATAAAACAATAACGGTAATCTGTAGCTAAAGAAATTGAGTGACATGTCTAAAAACCGGTCACATTAACTCAGATGCATTCATTTTTTATCTTCCTCTAGATCTTGAGTTCACTATTCCTTGTGACATATTTTTCTGTTGTCTTTTAGCGCCATATTCTCAATGTTTAACCTCTCCTATTATGATTTCTACTACGGCTGTTCATCTTGTTGGCCTTATGTGTTATAGTATGTTATGTATATGTCACACCAAGGAAGTGACAAATATTTTAATGACACATATGTCAGAAATAGGTCATAACTTTACAGTATTTTTAGTGGCAGTAAGCACATACTGGATAATAATAATATTGATTTTTTTTGTTTAAAAACAGTTAGGCAACCCAGATGTTATTTAGGATAGTAAACCAAAATACCCTTGGACTCACGTCCTTGTACAAATAATTTCTGTGTTAATGACTAGTCCGAATTCAACTATGCTTTTCAAGGTTGTATGCCTATGGGTTAATATTAACTTTCATAAACATTGAGTTAATTATTTAAACAAAATTACTTAATAGTATGCGACCGATAAATAATTATTACTTCAATATATATTGATCGTGACTCTCAGTTTGTTGGTCGACGTATTTCTCTGGATCATCGATGTGAATTTCTCGTACGCTGGATTAGCGGTTCTGGACATAGGTAAACTTGTTTTTTTTCATAAGTTTATTTATAAATTTTTTCTCATTAATTATAAGCTTTGACAGAATGTGAACTTAATAATAATTTACATAAAACCATAACATAATGTACCTTCAGGTGTTCAATGTTATGTTAGTTTATAGTGAATATGAATCAGGAAATTTTTTCTGGTATATAGTTGTGACACAGTAGAATCAGTTCCAACTTGAACTCTTCTGTAGCTCATGTTTTTCTTATTTGATTGGATATTTTGTAAATCAGCTTTTCAGTCACCCATGACTAATTAGTGTTATAAGAGCGGCATAATTACTAGACCTATTTATTCTTGTTAAACTACTGAGAGGATACTTTGATCAGTGTTGATAGAGCGACAGGCCAGTTAAAAATCTTATGAAGGTAAAAGTTAGTCAATACCGTTTGATAAGATTTATCAATAAGAATCCCATAATGTTTCTGTATGGACTAACATCCTACGTCTTGACCAATGATACGTTCTGACTGAAGGGAGTAATCTTAAGCTAAAGCCGGGAAAAACCTAACTCTCATTGGTCCAGAACGTACGCCTTTCTGACATCCCAGTTTCCTGTACGATAAATTAAAAGACGGAAGCCAAGCTTCTATGTATATCAGGCATCCAGTCTTTTTAATTCAAACACGTATTAGTTTAGAATACAGGAATTATTAGGCCGCATCGCGCACCAAATAAGAAACTATACTTTTAAAAACAATCAGACTATATGTTACAGGGTGTTGAGCAAACGGTACATAATTAACAATAATTGAGACGTAATAAAACGTTTAACAGTGGTTAACAGGTTTAGTGGAAGTTCGCAGTAAGGGGATTATAAAAGAACACTAATCAAATTATTTAATGGTTATGTCCTATGGCCTGCCAAATATCTCGTGACCTTATCCGTGTGCTAAACCGTTGGTGCGTTAACCAACATGAGCAGCCTAGAGTCAATTCCGAGTCCCTATTGGTCCTCTGTATAGTAGCTTCTCGCTTAGCCCCGCCCGTTCGATCCACAGCACAAATGTCGGTATCCGCCGTATGAATCGTACATTTCAGACATACGTGGTTTATATACAAGCATTCCTGACAGTATCGCACCATAAAATTAAAAAAAACAATTATACAAGATCAAGCCAAAGGCATGTGTAAGCACAGTAGACTGTAACTAATAGATTTGGAATAAATTAAGAATGGTAAATCGCATAACAGCTAATAGGTCAAACGGAGGCTTATGACAAAAAGAATATGGATAAGTATAAACTATTTGATTAATAATTCTGTAAGATTATGTGTTATAATAGTTCATAAATAATTCCTAGTTGTTACCATTCTCTTATTCTTTGTTCACATACAACTGCTCCTCAAAAATGCGGTTGAATGTTTCTTCAAACCTGAAAACACCCTCTCAACAGAAGCACTACATTTTTGTTTCTCGTGCATTTCTCCGTAAAGTCTCAAACCACTTGTTTCATGTCCAAACTCTTTTTCAGTGTTATCCCACCTACTTGGATGTTCGAAGAGGAACTTAATGTGGCAGCTCATTTGGAAAGTATTTTGTGAAATGTGCAATAATGTGATCTCGTTTCATGCGGCAACAACCCGACGGTTCATTGCTGCATTTTGCTGTTAGTTCCAATTGATGGACAGCAACATACGGGCTTTCGATCCTCTGTTGTATTCATCTAATATGTTGCACTCAGCTGTGAAAACTGTCTGTATCTTTTTGACCAACTTACTTTATCAGTTCTTGTTTGTTAGTGTTTATTTATTTACTTCCCCTCAGTCTTCATGTTCGTCTAGCTTACCTACTTACTAACTTAATTGTTTATATTTGTGATCATGTATGATACATTTTTGCTTTTGCTCAATCTAGGTGGCACATACGTATTTATTATGTTAGGATTTTCCCAAACATTTCTCACCTTATAGGCTTTCTTTGAAATATACGTGATGTAATTCCTTATAACTCTGAGCTTGATTTCGGTTACTGAAGGTTGAGTCAGGACAAGATTTGTCAAATATATATTCTGAATAGCATGGTACAGAAACAATCAAAGCGTCTACGACCCCACCGATTGTTCCTTTCAATGTCGTGAAAATTAGACGTCGATTTCTGTAGGGTTAGAATGTTCTTCCCATCACCCACACCACGAAATATTGAAAAACATAGTATTTCACCATGTCAGTTATTCACATTGGATTTTCTTAAATGAGTTCTCTGTTTGTATTCTTGCCGCCCATTTAGTTTGTTACAAAAAGCCAAATTGCAGCCGTAATATCTTTATCAACTACTTTAGTAGTTTGTAGAGCGTGATTGTCTAATTACTTCATCTATTATCAGGACAAGCCAGGCCTATAAGTGGAGCACCGATCTTCAGCGTGTAGTTATATTCCGAAATATGTCAGCGATGGACTTAAGTACATGCTGAATAGAAACAGTTCATATAAGCGAATAGTTAATCCTAGGGATTTCACAAAGTTAAGATTTTGATGCTGTCATCAACAATAAGATTCTATCGTGCAAACGACGAGCCATATATTCTACACTGCAATTCAGAAGTCCAAAGAAGGGTCTGAATATTTCCTAGTTTTTAGGCATCAGTTATGTTCCGGCACATGCAAACCCTTAAATTATGTTTTTTGAAGTTGTTGAATTAGTTAAATTGGAAATCCGATTAGAGAGTTGACTCTCTTGACCAAATTCTAGTTATTAGTGTGGAAAGGGCAATCAGTTTTAGGACTTCACAGCGTTTTACGTTTATGTGATTGGTTCAAAAAGAAATTTATTTAAAGACTAAACGGCTTCAGTCTCTTCTAAATGAAGTGAATGTATGATTGTACTCGCTTAGAAAGATGTGGGGAGACAAAATTACTACTGCATTAGGTAACTCAGTGAACCCGATCGAAGCTGCTACCTTGACGCCGTGGTCGGGTTTGCCTATCGTGATGACCCAACCGAGCTATATTGGCTGGAACATATGTTCCTGCAGGTTCTACCATGCCAGGCAGGTCGATTGGTGAACGGTAAGACTAAAAGCAGCAACTCAAGGTCTGAGGGCGAAGTCGTACTGCTGACTGTAGAGGGGTGTGACAGCAGTAAGGTGTTTCCCTCGGACAACCAGCATGACAGCGATGCTGCCTTCCCACAAGGAGGGGTGGGGTTAGAAAAGGTCAATCCTAAAAATGCACACCTGACCTTACCTCACGGATTTCCGTCTCCGGCGGTAAGGCCCCTTGAAGAACGGAGCTAACACGTCAAAAACCTTCCACAAAAAGGCCGTGCGCGACCGGCCTCAAGCAGTTGTCCCTTGGGCTCTGCGGTCACGCTCCCAGGTCGTCAAGACCAACACTAATCGAATTTCATTTTCAGGTTCCTCAAGAAATACCCTTCCACGGTGTGGGCAGCCGTGAAGTGGCATCAGCCCTCATACCCGTAACAGCACACGAGACCAAGTTGGTCACATTCCAATCCTTCCTACACCTCCTAATTCCTCTCTTATCTCCATGACTAATCCTCCTTACGTCTATTTATCACCTCGCACCGCTAGGGCAAACGATTCGAGTACGTGGAACGCCATTCCTGGTCTCCTGAAACCACGCTCTAAACTACACGTAGGAGCTTTTAACGTCCGAACACTAAGCCAAATAGGACAGCAGGCTTCCTTAGCTAGGACTTTACAATCCCGCGCCATCGATGTGTGCTGCGTCTCCGAAACGCGCATACAGGATCCGAGTAGCGTCATTCATTTGACCTCACCATGCCAAAATAAAGAACCGACTCGATTTACGCTTCGTGTATCTGGAAGCCCTGATTCTGCTTCCCGTGGCCTCGCCGGCGTAGGTATAGCATTAAGTCCTAGGGCAGAACTAGCTCTTTTAGAGTGGATCCCAGTAGACAGTCGTTTGTGCGCTGTCCAACTAAACGGAACAGTAAGAACTCGGAAAGATAGGGACACTCGTCGTTGCCTCTTCGTCGTCTCTGCCTATTCTCCCACTGACTGCAGCTCAGATGATGTAAAAGATGAGTTTTACAGAAAGCTTTCCTATCTTCTCCGAAAAGCTAGGCGCTCGCATGTAGTAATAGTGGCCGGTGACTAATGCTCAATTAGGTAAACTAAGCGATAGGGAAAGACACCTAGGTGGATCTTATGGTGTTGTGGCTCAAAGAACAGATAATGGCGATCGTCTGTTACAGCTATGCTCAGATAACCGCCTGATCCTTGCAAATACTAACTCTAAGCATAAGGAAAAACATCTTTTGACATGGCGACCCCCTAATTCTTCCCAACGTTGGACCCAAAAAGATCACATCGCTATCAGCCACCGATGGAGGGGCTCGATAGAAGACTGTCGCTCATTCTGGAGCACATGCCTAGATTCAGATCATGCTCTAGTGCCAGCGCGTATTTGCTTGCGTCTTACTGGACGTACGACAGATCCTGCAAGGAAACCTCTTAGGGCCCTACCTAATGATAGTCAGGCTAAGAGTATATTTCAGGAACAACTAGGAAAACAGTTAGGCAGCCATTTATGTGATGCCCACCCCAAGGAAGCATGGAATGATATCCTAAAAGCTGTGGAAACAGCAGTGATATCTGCTAGTAAGGTAAACCAGAAGGTTAGGGAGCAACACTGGATCTCAGCAGCATCTATCTCACTGATAAATGCTCGGAAACTCATTCCACCTGGCTCTGAACATAATGAAGAGCGGAGTCAGCTTAAGCGAGAGCTGACAAGAAGTCTACGCAATGACCGTGAACAGTGGTGGGTAGCGAAAGCAAGAGGTGGAAAAGGCAGCGGCAATAGGTAATAGCAGACAATTGTTCAGACTTGTTAGGGAAACCGGAATTAGGAACCCGACTGTTAGCGAAACACTCTCAGAGAAAGGTGGACATATTATACATTCTCAATCCAGGAGATTGGATCGATGGGCAGAACACTTCAGGGATCAGTTCAACTGGCCTTCATCCACACTTCGGTTCCCCACGATCTCCGGTCAACCTGAATGGCAAGTTAATGCAGGTCCTCCGTCTCTTTACGAAGTTGAAAAAGCCATAGGAAATCCGAAACGAGGGAGAGCAGCAGGTCCTGACAGGTTTACTCCTGAGATTTTTAAGGATGGTGGTCCAGTATTAGCAGCGAGATTAACCGAGGTCTTAGGTAGAATCTGGGAGCTGGACGTAATCCCATCTGACTGGTTTCAATCACTGATTGTGCCAGTCTATAAGAAAGGACAAAAGTCCTCTTGTGACAATCACAGAGGAATCAGTTTGACAAATATAGTGTCTAAAATATTAGCTTCAATAATACTTCGACGTCTAACTAAAGCTCGTGAAGAACAGACTAGAGAAAATCAGGCTGGTTTTCGACCTGGACGTGGTTGTATAGATCAGATATTCACACTACGTCAGGTTCTAGAACACAGACACACATTCAGACGCCCAACAATGGTAGTATTTCTCGACCTTAAGGCGGCATTCGACTCTGTTGATCGTGAGGTTCTATGGCAGTGTTTGTCACTGAAAGGAGTACCAAAGAAGTACATTAATCTTATAAAGGCTCTCTACTCGAACACAGCTGGTCGAGTGAGAGCTTATGGCGAACTGTCATCAGAATTGATTACCTCAAGTGGTGTTCGTCAGGGCCGTCCATTCTCTCCATTCTTGTTCAACTTTGTCGTCGACGTACTTTTAGAGATAACACTCTCCTCATCTAAATTTACAGGGGTTGAACTTCTACCGGGAGGTTCACTTGTTGACTTAGAATATGCTGATGACATAGTTTTATTTGGTGAAGACGCTGACAAAATGCAGTCTTCTGACCACTCTAAGCAACAATGCAAGCATGTTCGGGATGCGATTCTCTCCCTCGAAATGCAAAATGTTGCTTCAGGATTGGGTTACATCGACACCCGAACTAGTGATAGTGAGTGAAGTAGTTGAGTGTGTCGACCGCTTCACTTATCTTGGAAGTCTCATCAGCCCTTGTGGTTTAGTGTGTGACGAAATCTCAGCACGGATACAGAAGGCTCGACTAGCTTTTGCCAACTTGCGTCATTTATGCCGTAGGCGAGATATCCGTCTACCAACCAAAGGACGAGTTTACTGCGCAGCAGTTCGTCCCGTCCTAATTTCTGGCAGTGAAACATGACCGATAAGAGTAGAGGATATCCGTAGGTTACTAGTATTTGATCATAGGTGTCTTCGAAACATTGCTCGTATATCGTGGGACCATCGAGTAAGTAACACAGTTGTTAGGAAACGGGTACCAGGTAAGGATGGCAAATCAATTGATGAAGTAGTGAAACTTCATCAGTTGAGATGGCTGGGACACGTGTTACGTATGCCCAACGACCGACTGCCTCGACGTGCTATGTTCAGTGGTATAGGAGTAGGTTGGAAGAAAGCTAGGGGCGGCCAAACCAAAACATGGCAGAAGTCCATGAAGTCACTGACAAGTGAACTGAGTCATGTTGGTAGGTGTAGACTACCTGGTTGGGGACCGCGAAATGACAGCAACCGATGGTTAGAGACCCTGAATGACATGGCTCAAAATCGTTTGCAATGGCGCAGGTGCATCCACTCTCTGTGTTCTCCCAAATTCTAATCTTCTGAATTCTTCATGTCCCTTTTTTCCTCTTTCCAAATTTATTTCACTGGATTATACTCTTTAAATAACATCTGCAAACCCTAATCTTCCCGATTATTGCTTATACTCTTATTACCTCTACCACTATGGGATTTGAATCGACAACTGCATCTCTGTGCTAGTGTGGTGTGGCAACTCGAACTGATGTACGTACGTACGAAGTTCTACGTTGTTACTGACTGACTGACTGAACTCAGTGAAATAACTAGTGAGTTGTACTAATTATGGAAGGGTCTCATTGTATTAACATACTTTGGGAAAGCGTAATAAAATGTTAATTTTGTTTTATTCTAACCTCAATTAAGACGACCGATGCTT